CCAGCTGCACTGCTGGGTCTGTCCTGGGGACAGGACAAACATCTCTAGAGAAAAAGGCCAGCCTGGTGCTTGCTCTGAACCAGGCTGGGCTGGCAGCTCCTCAGCGCAAACCCCGGAGATGGAATGTCCCTCTCAGAGCATGCACAGCTGCAGCTTTACCTGCTGGTGCCACAGGAAGCTCAGCTCACAGGTCACTCAGCCTGAAGCACCTAGGAAGCCTCACCTGGGGTCTCTCTAACCCCATGCCAGTTTCTGGCAGCACCAGGAAGCTCCTCAGTGCCTGGCTGCTCCCTCCACACACACACTCAAAGATCAGTGACTGATCCACTGGTGGCTCCACACCCAGCACAAGCACAAACTTGGTTTTGCTCCTGCCACCCCTCCCCACTGCCACTTGGCTTGGGGAAGCTCACAAAGCCCTCTTCTCACATACTCACACTGATAACTGAAAAATCATGCATCATGCAAAAAACAAAGGAAAGACACAAAGATTACTTTTTTTTTGAGCTTAAAAAGAAGCTTTTCCAGTTCCAGGTAACTGCTTCCTTTGGTTTGTCCTGCTCCAAACCAGTAGCCATGCTGGCTTAGCAGCATCCATGGAGAATTTGGCTCACAGCTCCTGCCCAGTGCCCATCACCCCTGCAGCACCAAGGACACTTTATATCGGATCTCTCCCTCTCTCACTTCCAAAGCCTTTCCCACACAGCTTGGCCAGAGCAGCTGGTCCAGCAGGCAGCCCATGCTGCATCCTACAGCCCCCCACTCCAGCAGCAGCAGCAGCTGCCCTCCCAATAACCCCACTGAGCAGAACAGATTAAAACAGTAACAAGATTAAAACAGTAACAAGAAAAACCTCCCACAGCTCCCTCCCTATCCTTGTGTCTGAATCCCAGCTCACCAGGATGGATCCCTGCTGTCTGGGGAATTTCTCAAAGGCTCTGCTTGCTGTCCTTCCCAATGTCACTGCCCCATGCCCTGGGACCTTTTCTTCTCACAGTTCCAGAACACGGAGATAAAATCTAATGTGCATTATCTCAGTGTGGGGCCTCTGACACCCAAGCTGGAGAATGTCCAAAATTCCACGAGCTCTGTAAGACTGAGTGATTACTTATTCCATGCTTTATTCTCTGCAGCCTTTTTACACTTCCCTTTCACATTTTAATCCCCTTCTGTATCTTTCTTCTAAGTCTGTCCCAAGGGACGCTCACTTCTACATTAAAAGGTACAGAAAGCTCCAACAGTCAGCAAAGACTCTGGCCACAGCCTTGGAGGCAGAATGAATGCTGAACAAGGCAGAGTGCTCTTCATGGGAACCCTCCCAGACCTCCAGCCTGCATAAATAATCCAGCAATTAACAGAGGCAGGAAGAGAGCAGGAGATGCATCAGCACCCTGGCAGCAGCTCCCTCAACACATCCATATCCTGTCACCTGCAGCAGAGTCCAACCCTCCCTTTCTTTCTAATTGCTCAAAATATTTTAAAGATCAGGGGAGAAAAAAATCTGAGTGATCCCAAGGAGACAATCCCTCCATCCTCTGCATTCACACCCCACCACCAGGAAACTGCCCTGCTTCAAGAAGGAAACAAAGGGAAGAAAATTCTGTATGGTTATCATCCCTGATAAAACCTCTTGAGAAAGAGGAGAGGTAAATGCACCTCTGCAGTCACCTGGAAAAAATCTCTTCCAGGATAAGACAGGAGAGTTGTATAGGAATAGTCACACAACATTTCTGAGCCATGAAGTTCTTGGGCCTCACATCAGCAGAATCAGAATCTGTCACCAACAAAGGCTCCCCCTCACCTTTCTTCCCCCAGCCACACCCTGCAACACCTGCAAGCCCCTGTGCCTCGTGCAGCTCTGCAGCTCCACACCCTGCCCCAGCAAAGCAGGCAGAGCACGCACACTGCACTTTCACTGAAAACAAGGCAAACACAGCCCTGCACATAACTCAGCCTGGGACGAGGCAGCTGGGCTGTCCTGCTGATCTACAACCCCTCTGCAGCTCTGCATTACCACTCCCCAGTTTCTCCAAGACATTCTGCCACACACACAAGCTCTCCAGAGGAGCCACCACAAACAGAAGTTATGACAGAAAGAGCAGCTCTTTGATCAGCTGTGGAATGTGAAGATATGAGGGATGCAAAAGCCATTATATCTTTTCCTCTCCTTGGAGTCAAGGGACTAAAAAGATAAAAAAGGCAAACTGAAATGGACAATCCTCAGAGAAGAAAGTGCAGCAGAAGTGGAGCAAGCTGGGGCAGTGTCTGCATCTCCATGGATCTCCTGGGCTGTCAGAACTTCACCCCTCTGCTGAGGAGCTGAACCAGCAGCTAAAGCAGCAAAGAACTGACATCCCAAAGATTCACATCCACCTCATTTTCTGCATGAGGACTGCCCTGCACAGGGGGAGAGAAGGGTTCTAGGTCTTGGGTCCAGAAAAGGAGGATCCTGCCCTTCCCTCCTCCATTTATGCCCTCACTGTCCCACTGCTGGCTCTGCCACCTTCCTGCTCCTCAAAATCCTCACCTCTTTTCCCTCACTGCATTCATCAGTGACTTGAAACATTTCTTAAACCATTTTTTCCTGGACTGAACCAAGTCTTGCCTCCTTCCGGTCATATTTAGGCCAGAGCCTTCATCCCAGCTCGTTTTGCTGGCAGTGCAGGCAGAACCTGGGTGCACAGCTGGAGTTATGGCAGCAGAAACAGGCCTGTCCCACCAGGTACAACACTCAGGTGACAGCTCAGAGCTGACAGACACACCCAGGCACTGAGGACTTGATTCTTTGCAGTACTGAGCTTTCAGGATGCAAGGCACCAACACATGCAAGGGGGAATTCAACACCACAGCATCCCAGGGCTTTGCTGGGCTGCACAAAGCTGGGCTTTGCACAGCTTCTCCCTGCTCACATTGCCTCTGCCTGCTCTCTGAGGAGCTGGAGCTCATTCAGGTCCCTCTGGATCTGTGCTACACCTTCAACCTCTGCAGCAGAGCCCTTCCTTTGCCTCCCTGGAGTCACTGGGTGGCAGCTCCAGCACCTGCCCAGCCAAAGGTGAAGCCTCCAGAACTTGCACCAGTGATCCTGAGGTGGAATTTCTGCAGGAAGGAAAGATGTGACTTCCCTGTGATCAGGCTGCTGGGATGAACTAAAAGAAGCCACATTTTCTACTTGCAGTGTTTTTTATTGGATAGCAACCTTCCTACTGGGGTTATTTATAAAGAAGTGTTACAGACTGTGTTAAGTTATACATTGCAGAATTTCAGAAGATGACTTAAAAATGACGATTCCTTTTTTTCCCTCCCCTCTCCCTTAGAATTCAGAGTAATTTCTAGGGAATTTTATTCCTTTCCAAGTGAATACTCAAGGATCCCAGAAGTATTGTGGTATTTTCAAATGTGTTTCTCACTACTTCATTCTTGCCTGTGGCAACTAAATTCTCCTGGATTCAAAAACAATCTCAAGGCTGATACACCAAGGAGCAGTGGGTGAAAAGGCTTCCCTGGAGAGCTTGTGGATGTCACAAACAGAGACAGGGCTGAAATGCTGTCTGGGGAGCCTGGCTGTGACACAGGATCCAGGAGTCACATCAGCTCCATTTCCATGCCCTCCTAACCCACAGTCAGAGAATCCAGGAGCACCCCAAGGATGAGTTAAACAGCAGCTTTTTTAATGCACATCAGAGAGGCTCCCACTCCCTGGATCTGCCCAGGGCTGCCCAGGCCTCAGGCACCTGAACACATCTGCAATTTCCTCTTGTCTCCATCAGAGATTCTCTGCCTGGCCCCAGCATGACCCCACAGGTACTACAAGGGCACTACAAAACAAGCAGGAGCCAACACTTCTTCCTGTTGGAAACTGGGGTGGGGGGCTGCAAAAAGCACTGGCAGAGACTCCAGGAGACAGGAACAGCTGCAGAAATGGTCACGATGGAAGGAACAACAAAAAAAAATGTCTTCATCAAACCCCAGCCTTTCTGTCCCCTTCCCTTCCTACCTCCACATGCTGTTCTTAGACCAAATATTGTAAGTAAAGTGTCCCTGGAGTTCTTCACGAAAAGAATCCAAGCAAACCTCGGTACATTGTCTTAGAGCCTTTCCATTCACAACATGAGCACAATTCAGCCAAGGACAACTTGAAGGTCATTAGAAGAGATCCCAGAGAAAAGGAAAGGGCTCAGCTGGCTGCAAAGACTGTGTGACTGCTCTTAGAGCAAGAGGCATCTCCTGGACAGGCTTAAACACACACAGCTTACCTAAAATGATAACATCACTCTACATTACATTCTATTTAATAACTTTATCCCCTGCACAGCAGCTCAACAGCACTGAACAGTTTGTTGCTTTTTCACACAGACTTTCTGTGGATTACACAGGATTTTCTGTAGGTTTTGCAACTGCCTGCATAATATTTTCTTTCATCACAGAGAAGACACAGCCCCGTTAGAAGTCTGGTGAGTTTATCCTGCACTCTCCTGCCCATCAAGCAGAACTCATGATAAGCTGATGGGGATAATATCTACATGGAAAATACTGACACATTAGCCAGCACATGCAGTGCCCCCATCTAGGCAAATCTCAGTTTAACCCCTGTTGAAGCAAACCCCTGGAATAAATCCAGATGTCACCTTTGCCAGTAAGGATTTACACCAGTGAACAGAATATAACTCACCTGCTTTTTATACCCCAGTGAAAGCAAAACCTAGGAGTCACAAAGCAGTGCAGAAGCCTTGTGCAGTGCAGTCATTTCCCAGCTGCAACTTCTCCTAAGCTGCGGGGGTGAATTTATGACAGGGCACTTGTCCCCTAAACGAACTCATTCCCACAGCCCATCCAAGCCTTGGGTCACCAAACTGCCTTTTCTCCTTGAGGGCAGCTCCTCCTGCCTCTGCTGCTGAGATCTCACTGTTCATGACAGATAAATAAATATATTTTCATTCTAAGGCAATTAACCATAGGTGCAGGCACACATGGGTATAACCAAGGCACATCAGTTCTCTTACCTGAGCCATTTCTGCCTTCAGGATGGTTTTGTGAAAGGTATTCTCCAAAAGCCCTCGCCGCTCTGTGTCCCAGCATCAGGAGGCAGCCAGGGAGAGAAAAAGAGAGATTTGAGATGCTTAAATGCCAAGGAAAGAAGGAACAGTTCAATACCAACACACTGCTGTGCCCCTGCAGCTGCCATCCCCCCAGTCTCAAGTGACACCCATGGAAATTCACTGCCAGAGCAGAGAGGTTTCCTCATTACACACCAGGATTCCAGTGGCTCTGGTGGAACATCAGTGTTTCCCTGGCCAAACTGGGAAACAGAGCTGGACTAGGAATCCAGGACTAGTTTAGGCTTTAGCTTCTCTGTTATAAGAATGAAAAAACAGAATTGAAATGCACCTGCATCCTGTGATGCACACAGGAACTGACTCACTGTCTCCAGCCCCCTGAGTTAAGCCCCTCCTGGCAGCCCAGGAAGGAGGCATCTCCACCCCAGAGAAAATCATCATTTAGGTTCCCACAGGTCCTGAAAGCTCCCAGCTGAGAGCTCAGATGTGGATGCTAATGCCCATTTTACCTACCTGAACCCTAAATTCTCAAGCCCCAGCTATGTCAGTATTTGGAGCACTGGACAAGCTTATTTGAGAGTCACCCACAGCCTCCCACAAAAGCAGTTCCTGCTTCTCTGATGGATTCCAGTCCTGTGGATGACTGAGGTTTTACTGGAATATATTAAGAACCAAGCAAGCAGGGCAAGCTCAACCCTTATCACACATCCAGGCCCACGTAAGAGAGCAAACCTATGAATATTCCAACCAGGGAAGAGCCTTCTGCTTGCAACTCACACAGGAAAGGAACCCTTGGCCAAGGCATGGAATACAGCAACCTCCAGACTCCAATTGCCAGGGCATTTGTAATGTCCTGGTGCTGTGATTGCTCTCCTGTGTCTAACAGACCTGTGACCCAAGAGAGCCAATACTAGAGCCAGGTTTTTCCCAGCCATCCCAATACTAGAGCCAGGTTTTTCCCAGCCATCCCAATACTAGAGCCAGGTTTTTCCCCAGGTTTGTAGAACAATCTCTCCAAGGCCTGCAGCTGAGCTGCCACTGGGCAGCCAGGGTGGAGAGTGGCAAAGAGGGAGGTGAAACAGCCACACACCTCCTTGGCAAGCCAAGCCAAGAAACCAGAGCTGAGCACCCTCAGCCCTCAAGCACAGCAGCATCTCCTGGGGAAGGACAAGATTTGCTGCAACAGAGAAGACTCTCCACCCCAAGGCATCACATCCACTGTCCTCCTCCTTCAGAGGTGCCTCAGAACATCCTCTCCAGCTCAAGCTGCTGCAAAAGGCTCATAATGGCCATTAAACATTTAAGTGAAAAATAGCTCTGCCCTCCAAAACCACCTTCTGCTTTGCATGTTCCAGCTTGTGTAGGCAGGATCTTCCCCACTGCTTTTATGCACCGTCCCCCAGAGGAGAAAAGGTTAACAAGGCTCCAAAGCACTTCCCAGAGTGACTTGGGCTGGAAGGAGTGGGAAGTCCATTTGTCTTCCACAGCCAGCAACACAGGATCAATATGAACAATGAAGAAAGAGTAATTTAATCTCTCCAGGACTAAATTTCAGCACAGTCAAATGCAAAATGCTTTAGAGCAGCACAGCTGGAGCTGTGCAAGAAGAAAGGTTTAAGCTTTTCTATCTTTTCATACTAACAGATAATGCTGAGTTTTCCCTATTTTTGGATTCTTACATGTCCAGCTCCAGGCAAAGAGCAAGACTTGACCCTGGAGCAACAAATAAATGCAAAATTGGGAACTGGAGTGTGGCTGCTCCATGGAAGTGGTTGAGTCAAAATCCCTGGAAGTGGGGATGTGGCACTTGGGGACATGGTTTAGTGATGGATGTGGCAGGGTTTGGTTGCAGTTGGACTCATTGACCTTGGAGGTCTTTTCTAACCTTAACAATTCTATGATTTTAACATTAGGCTGCTCCTGTACTCCATCTCAGAGCTGGTTCAAGCTCAGCCAAAGCTACAGCTGATCCTGCACACCACCATGGCTTTAATAAGATGGTTGGACATGAGATTGTGAGATCTCTTCCACCAAAACTTCTGGGACTCCAGGGCTTCCCATGGAAATGTCTGTCTTTGCAAGGCATCACCAACACCATTCACAAATGGGCATGCACTTAGGCCATTGGGAAAAACTCTGAAGCTTCTCTTTTGCACCAGCAGTCATTCCATGTAGAAAAAAATAATAGCAAGCAAGTTCTCAGGTAAATTATCAGTGAGAGAACATGGTGATTTACACAAAAAATGCTGAAATATGATGATGAATCTGTAACTAGTTCAAAAGCTCCACGAGCTCCAAATTCATCCGTCATTGCCTCCATTCATCTCTCTGCCAGTGCCCGAAGCTGTTTTGTCTGTCTGAAAATCTGAACCAACGCTTCACCTTTAGCTTGCAAACCATGGACTCAAAAAAACCAGTGCAAAGCATTTCCTAAGACCAAAACTGATAACTAAGACAGAGCCAGAGAAGCACTGCTGCCCCCCAGCCCACCGTGCTCCATGGTGAAAACTGTCACTCAGTGAGAGCTCAAGCTGGAAGGTGCTGCAGTGTCTCTGACCTCACTCTCGTTCCCCCAGGCAGAGGAGGGTACAACCCCAGGTGCCAGAGCTCCTAGAGAACAGGTCACAGCCAGAGATCAGGCCATACCCAGCGCTCTTGTGCAGGTCAGAAGCACAGCTGGGCATTGCTCAAAAGCATTGCTCCCGGCAGCTCTGTCCTGCCTGTTCCACCCCACGGCTCCCAGAGCCTTCAGGCCAACCCAGAGCAAACAAACACGGACACGTGGGCACAGCTCCCCAGCCCTGGTGAACACAGCACAGCCTGCACCAGGGGCTTTCCAGCCAATTACACCCGAAATTTCTCACTAATTATTGTGCCTATTATCTCAGTGGGTCCCTCCTGCACTCCTGCTTCCCATCGGCTCCTCCTTGGCCGTGCCTCAGCGGAGCTCCCGCAGATGCCTGCACTGCCCTTTGCCAAGGGGACTCTGATGGCCACTCCTGCTCCTAATGGCCACTGCCCTTGCCAAGCCTTCAGTGCTCCTCCCCTGCCCTCAGAGTCCCCTCAGCTCACCAGCACTCACCTGGATTGTCACTGTGCCGTTTTTACTGTGCCGTTGTCACTGTGCCATTGCTCCGCTCTCCTCGCTACCCATCAGCGCGATCGCAGTAAAGCCAGAGCACAATTCAAACAGATGGCAGCTGTTCTATTCATCCTGTTCTTTTCTCTCTCTTTTATCTATTACCACAAGTCACACAATCAGACTTTCCCTCAGCTCAGCTCTGCCTCCACTATCACTGCCAATGGAGTTCAAGCCCCCTCACACCACTGGACAGCACTGGACATAAACGCCTTCAACTGGGCTCTGAGCAGAGACACCTCAGGATAATTTAAGAGCAAGAGATGGAAAAAAAAGCTTGTTTCACATAAATGAGATGAATACAAGGTGCCTTACAGCTCCATGGGCCCGTGAGCTATAACCCTGAGTGTATGACACTGCAAAAGCTGCATACCAATGAGCAGGTAGCACTGAGAGGCGATCAGCTGATGGCAGGACAAGTTTAGCCCTGACTCATCTGGAGAGAGGTTTTCATTCTAGTGGCAGAGCAGACCTGCATGTCACACAGTCAGCACAGCTAGATTTAACAAAAGGACATCAAGCAGGGACCGGGGCTCCAGCACACTGTGCTGCTGAGCATAACCAGCACAGACAAGCCTCAGAAAACAGCAGCATTTCCTCCAGAATTCCATCAGAAAGGCTCCAGGGAGGGAAGGAGGGATGGGACAGCACAACACAGGCAGCAAAGGCAGCTGCCCTTCTGGGGCATTTTCCAGTACTCACTGTGCCTCAGATGTCAGAGCTGGGATCAGGTCTGGAAGAGAACTGTGAAGAGGCACAGACAGTCTAGACAGAGATTTGCTCGAAGGAGCAAAGCCTCCAAATAACAAAGATCTCAATTACAATGTAATAAGCACAGAATGGCCTTCATGTCTCCGAAATAATCACATCAACAGGATAAAAGGGGCCTTGATGCACACGAGCAGCTATGAGAAACTGATGCACATAAATTTATCCACCAAACTGACACTTACAGAGTGAAGAAATGCAGATTGAAACACTCAGAGATACAGGAAAGACCTCAGATAACTCCATTTAGCAGCAAGCTAAGCAAAACCTGGACTATTCAGGAGTATTACATGGAAAAATAAAGAACACCCACCACCTTCTCATGCTCCTTCAGAAGTAATGCCCAGAGAAGTTGCAGCAGGAATCTGTTGTGACAGCATCTGACAGTGCTGCATCTCAGGCATACAGGAGAGAAGAGACCTGCATCATCAGGACCTACATCCTCCTACAGCAGCAATCCTGCTCTTGTCACCAAGCAGAGAAGGGAACACCTCCAGCACAGCCACAGTTAACAGCTCAGTCACTAAAGACTGGTGACACCTACGTTATTTAAGCCTAATAGTAACAATACCCTGACAAAAATTAGTTTTCTAAAATATCTATGTAGAGAAATGGTAGCTGGAAAATTTTCATTTCAAAATTCTCACACTCAATAAGGGGAGACTGGATGTCAGCAATGGGTCTTAGAGGCTCCACAGTATTGGAGTAATTTATGATCATAAAGTTTGGACAGGAGAAGAGAGGAAGAGCAGCAGAAATTAAAAGAAAGGCAATCAAAGAGACAGTTCATACCACTCCTCAGGTAATTCACAAGCAGAAAAGAAGAATCTAGACTCCATGAGGAACCCCAAGCTAAGCCAAAAATCACTCATGCAAGAAGCCTGGGATAAGGTACATGGTCACTTACCTCTGCATTTCATCAATGAAAAATCCATCCTTTCACTGATGCTGTGCTCAAAGCCATTCTTCATCCCTCTCTAGGCAGGAAGAGCAGGAGTGAGACCAAATTCTTACCCCTCTGTGAGCTATCCTGGACGAGATGCCAAGGTCATAGAATTGGGCAAGACAAATCACACTCCCAATTCAAATATTTCCTGTGCTAATGACTGCAAGAAGAGATGGTTCTGGAACACCCAGCAAAAGCCTCATGTCTGTTTGCTCTCACCATCACGTTCTCCCAAACAACAGCTGTAGGCCAGCACAATACAAAGCAGAGCTGCAAGAAAACATCTGCTTTACTGCCTCATTTGGGGTGCCAGTGTTTTCCTGCAGGTGTCAAGGGACCAAGGGCAAGGAGAGCCCATTTCTGAAGGGCTCTGGTTCATCTGCACCCTTGGAAAAGTTCTGAGGAAGCCAAGGAGCACAGGTCAGACAGGCACAGCGGGCCCTGGAGGGGCAGCACCAAGGTCACCACTCAAGGACAACTGCGTCAGCCCAGCCTTCGGCACTGGGGGCCAGGAGCTGCAGGGCAATAAAAGTGCACACAGGGAGGGAACAATCCCTCCTGGCAGGGGGATCCCACATCCAAACCCCTCACAGGAGACCACAGCAGCAGCAGCACCAAGCACAGCCCTTCCTGGGCGTGCAGGGCGCTGCAATTCCCCCAGGAGGAGACACCACAGAGACCAAAGTCAGCACCGTGGGTGCTCTGCACAGCACTGGCACAGAGCAATTGTGCCCTTAGTTTGTAAGGAGCTACTTAAAAACACCCAGCACACAACAAGCTGCACGGAGCTTAATTAATGCTCCTGGGACATAAAACTCCCCTGAGTGGCTCTGCAGAGATTTTAATTGAACAATCTAGGGAGCCTGCACCCTGGATCCCATTACTCACACCAGCAAACAAGCCCTGCTCCTTGCTCAGTGAAACAGTCAAGTGTGCACACACACTCCAGCCACACGTAAGAAATACACACCATGGTCACTTGGACTTGCAGCAGAATTCCAGGAGATGATTTTTCTCTAAAGAGAAGTCAAGACAAATATGAACAGGGCAGAGCCCAGAAGATGCAGAGAAGCAATCCCAGGATCCCCCAGCTGCCTACACCCACAGGGCACATGACCATTGCAGCAGTGCTACCCACACAGGTGACCCAAGCGCCCAACCCTCGTGGGATGGACAGAACAGGCTCTCTGTAGCATTACCCAGTGTCCTACAGAGTCCTTGCTGTAGATGAGGATGAAGGAGATACATGGAGCAGAACCCAGGGCAGAGCAGAGCAGCTGTGTGTGATGTGCTCCAGGAAACCTTTCAGGTTTTTCAGCAGGTGGGTTGTTGCCGCTGTAGGAATTCTGAGCCCATGGGAATAGGGACTGAGCCGTGCCTGGAGCAGCAGGATGGAGGCACATGGACAGCACCTGTCACCACCAGCACCTTCTCCACACAAAGAGGCTCTGCAGGGAGCCCCTTGGCAAGTTCACTGACCTCCTCCAATGATTTCTGGATCAGGAATTTCCAGCATGGCCACCAGCAGGGAGACACATAAGAACACCTGTCCTGTGCTGTGGTCTACGTGACCAGACACTCCTCAAGGGCATTATGTCCCCCAGCCCAAACCCACTCATAACTTTTCTGGTCAAACCACCTTACTGCACAGAGACACCTCAGAGCTCCCACAAACCTGTACCTGCAGCTGTCAGCAGGTATGGAGCAAAGCAGAACCCCCGAGGCACCTCCTGGACTCCACACAGCTGACAGAACCTGAGCAGCATCTGCCCACCCTGGTGTAGGCTAACAAGTCATTATGTTCAAAACACATTAGTCGCTCCCAAACACCCACACCACCATTTGAAATCCTCCCAATTACTGACTGTGTTGTTTGTGTGACTGCCTAATCCCACTCCCAGAACCCCACCACAGCACTTATGGTGCTTTGCGTGTCATTTCTGTATACGCACCTGGCTGACATCACCACAAAGAATGCCACTTCCAAATCTCTGAATGCCATGGAAAGCATTCATGTTTTCATTACTGGTTATGGACAGGGTGCAACAAAATGTGGGGAGAAGTTGCAGGCTCTGCCTGGAGAGCTTTCCCTCAAGATACTCCAGAGTTTGAAGGATGGATTTCTTTACAACTCAAACAGATGGCAAGGTACAAGCTTTTCATCTCTTCACTTCAAGCCTTAAGACTTCTCTTTCCTCTGAGCACAGCAGAGATGCAGTAATGTTGAGTTACAGAGAGAGGTGACTGAGATCTTTCAGCAACACGGATTGAGTTCTACACACGACTCCAGGTTATTCTAACGCAATTTTGTCTAACAACACAAAGAAGGTGTTACATAATGCAGCTGAAAAGTTTAATTTCTCCCAATTTTTCCCCAGCAGCAAAGAGCCAGTCTAGCTGAAGCAGAGACAGTAACAGACCTACTCCCTGGCACAGCTGTGCTGAAGGAGCAGCTAAAAAGCTGCGCCAATGCCCCCAAATAGTCACCGGATGACTGCTGTGACACTTGCACTGCAGCGTGCAAGAAGGGTCTTTCACCTGGGAAAGGGCACCAAGGCAAAGCTTGTCTTTGACAGCTTTTTAAACCTAAGTACCACTAAGCAGCAAATATTTTCTCGGATCTCCCATGCTTGATACTGAAAAGCACTGGGATCAGGCAGTGAGTGAAATACTACACCGTAGGACAAGCAATACAAAACCAGAACAGGCACAATATAGAACCCAAATCACCTAACTGGTCCGTGTAGTGGTTTGGGACGCTGCCGGGGAGGGCAGACGTGGTGGGTGCAGATTTTCACAGAGCAGTTTTTCCATTCAAAGGAGCGGAACCCCTTGAAGGAGGCTGCTGACTTTGCCCTCGGACACGCGCACGACATTTCAGCAGAGGAGAAACCACCGGGCACGCTGACCGCGCTTCCGAATTCCCGAAGATTAAAAAGATCCATCCCTGACAAATCCACTTCTGACACGCTCTTTGCCGACCCAGCAAATAAAGCCCTGCAGGTGCAGCGGCCGGGCCGATGGCGGGGACGCCTCTGGACACAGTCACCCCTCCAAGGCTGAGGGTCGGCGGGGTGCAAGGGTGGCACGGCCGCCCGCTGCCACCCGCGAGTGTGCGGCTGCTTTGGGGGCATCGATCGGGGCAGCCAGCGACAGGGACCCGCCGGCAGCTGCCACTCCCAGCCCCGGGACGGCCCTGGGGCACAAGCCCCGGGTCGTGCCCGCACCGGTACCTGGGCTCGTCCCGAGGGTCTCGGGGCTCCCTCCAGCCCGGCACGACCCCCGAGGCGGCCGGGGGCGAGCAGGGTGCCGGCACCGCGGGGCCCCCCGAGGCACCGCCCGCCGCGCCCCGGGCACCCACCTCACTTTGGCCGCCACGGACGACATGGCCTCGTTCCTGAGCGTCTTCCTTTTGGACACGGCTGTGCCCATATTCGCGCGGGGGGTCGCGGCCGGGGGAGCGCTCATCGCCGGGCCCCGCGGCTGCCCATGCCGGGGCGCGCCGCCGCCCCTCGCCGCCGCGCCGCCTCAGAGCCCCGCCATGCCGGCCCCCGGCCCGCGGCCCCGGCCCGCGCTGCGCTCCGCCGCGGCCGCTGCCGCCCCATTGACTGCGGCAGGAGGCAGGGAGGGAGGGAGGGAGAGAAGGAGGGACAAGCCCGCCCCGCCGCCCAGGAAGCGCCGCTATATTTGGCCAGCGGCACCTCCTCCGCCCGCCTGACATCATGGCCGGGGAGGGGGCGCCGGCCCCGCCTCAGGGGCCGCGGGACCCCCGCATGGGGAGTGTGGGGCTGCGGCGGGAAGAGGGAAAGGCCGGGGGACAGCTCAGGGGGCTGCAGCTCCTCATAAGGGACAGCTCCCATCTCTGCTCTGGGACGGGGACAGGAGCCAGGGCACGGCTGGGGCTGGGCCAGGGCAGCTCAGGCTGGAGCTCAGGGCAAGGCTCTGCCCCCAGAGGGTGCTGGCACTGCCCAGGCTGCCCAGGGAATGGGCACGGCCCCGAGGCTGCCAGAGCTCCAGGAGCCTTTGGGCAGCGCTGCCAGGGGTGCCCAGGGTGGGATTGTTGAGGTTTCTGTGCAGGGCTGGGTGATCCCTGCGGGTCCCTTCCAGCTCGGGATGCTCTGTGATTCTCTGGTTCTGCCTGAGGGGAATATCCAGCCAGCGGCCGTCAGACACGGCTGCAAGGGGAGGCCCGGGGGTATCTCTTTCCAGGCTCCTGTCAGGAAGTGGACGTGCAATCTGCAAAAAAAATCAGTCATTTTGACACAAAACTGCAGCCTGCCTTTGACAGATCGGCTGAAAGATTTCACACATGGTTTATTTTCCACAGCAGGGCAGCTGCATCCCTCTGCTCATGGGGTGGACACGGTCACGAAGGTCAGACTATTGGGTTTTGGACACGACAGCTCTGAAGGATTGACACAAACACCGCTGGCCTTGTCCCCTGAGCAGGTCGCTGCTCCCCGCTGTTGTCCCAGAGCAGCAGCGCAGCCATTGCCAGAGTGACTGGAGGCAGCAGAGCCATGAGGGGGAGATGGGCGCTCAGAAATCCCCTCATGTCCAGTGTCACCTGCCAGAGCAAACACCTGCCTTGAGATCATCGAGTGCTTGAAAACAAACCCAACAAAAGGGTTTGTCAGTCAGCCGAGCCTTAGAGGATTTTCACTTCACACAGTTGCAGAACTGTTTAGGTTGGAAGGAACCTTCATAGATCACTTGCTCCATCCCTGCCATGGCAGGGACACCTCCCACTGTCCCAGATGCTCCCAGCCCTGTCCAGCCTGGCCTTGGGCACTGCCAGGGATCCAGGGGCAGCCCCAGCTGCTCTGGGCACCCTGTGCCAGGGCCTGCCCACCCTCATCATAAAATTTTTCTTCCTATCACACAGTCTAAATCTATTCCTTTGCCTCTTATCCTGGCCCTGATAAAAATTCATCCACCATCTTCCTTATAATCCTCCTTTCAATGTATAAAGGCTGCTAGAAGGTCTCCCCAGAGCCTTCTGAATCTGAACATTCCCAGCTCCTCCAGCCTTTCTTCACAGCAGAGGGCTTCCAGCCTCCAGATCAATTTCAGGGGTGTAGGTTTTGATCCCTAGGGGGGTTTAGAAAAATGTTTTTCCGTGGGAAAGTATTTTATAAATCTACTTTCAGGATACCTGAGTGACTGGGGCAGCAAATTCTTGCATATTATTCAAAATACATACAGAAAAAGCACTTGGATTGTCCCCCTGACTCTGCAGGCAAGTGTAGGAACCCCAGGAACTCAGAGCCACTCATTCAATAATATTGGACAGAGGGTAGAAGTTTTATAGATAATTAAAATTCCTACAGGTTTTGTGAAAAGAGGCAGCTGAAGGAGGGAGTGACAGGCACACCTTGACCTGTGTGTACCTGAGGAAGGGCTGTAGCATAAGCTCATGTTTCACTGTCCTTCAGAGACCCTGCATCAAGAAACCAAAGGCTGGGGAAAAGCTTCAATCCTCTCTCTCCACGGACTCCAACACAAAACCTGCAAGAAAATATAATAGGATTTGAACAAATTAAGTCTGTTTGGTCTATTAACCTACCCATTGAAAAATAATTTCTATAGAGAGGAAAAAAGATGAAGAAGGTACCCAATTCCCCTGGTTTCTGTGGACACAAGGAGCAGGATACAAATACCTCACCAAGCAGAATTTTATCACAATCTGAACAATTCACTATGAATAACACATTTTCAGAGCTGTATCTTTGCTGAGACCCAAGCTGTAAGCAGAAAAAGTGACATGTCCACAGTAAAGACATGGAAATACTTAACAAATAAGGTCAATCTGTGTTTCCCAACCCCTTTTTCCCCTTTATGTAAACTAGATGGGGGAAATGGTCTTTATTTCTATGTTTAAATATTTTGCCAGTTGAGGCAAATGCTGTTCCTTAAAAATATAACTCACTCTCCAAACCAACAGGCAGGTCTGCTCTATCCATGACACAATTCCCACCAGATCTACCTGGAAGTGCCCCAAAGTTGCTCACAGTGACATTTTTCATGTACAAAACAAAACCCAACCTCAATAAATTGGATTTTTTTCCCCCAGAATATGACTCCAATTAAATTTCTACTCATGACTTCCCCCCACCCTGTTTTTTGTTGTACAGTCATGTCACGAAAGAGTTCCTACAACAGAAAAGGAGAAAAAAAATCCATCTGTTTTGAATGAGCAACTGAAATAAAACCACTTGCAGAGAACTGGAGCCATGCAAGCAGTCCCAGTCTCCATGAAGCCATGCCCAGTGCTATCAATTCCCAGAATTAAAAAGCATCCACATGGATGTCTCCATCTTCATCCCATGGTCAGACTGCTCTGCCTTGTCCGTTCCCCAGCAAGGTCTCCCTCTCCGGGGCTGGGGAGGCTCCAGCCCAGAGCAGGGCTCACTCTGAGCTTGGCCCAGTGGGTTTTGAGCCCCTCCAAGGATGGAGATGCAAACCCTGCTCTGGTCCCTGTCCCAGGGCTGCACCACTCCCAGAGGGAAAGATTCCCATAGATCCACTGGGAATTTTCCATGTTGGACTCTGTGCCCTGGAGAAGCACCCAGCCCATGACTCCACAGCATCCCAGGAACCATCCCTGCAGATTCCCCTCTTGGTTTGGCTTCTTCCCTGCCTTCCTCTAGGGTTTGCTGCCTGCTCCTGGGTTTATCCCTGTGTTTAGGGGTCTGGGTTACCCCAGAAGAGGAGGCAGCCAGGGAGAGATGCCTTTGCTTGGTGCTGGGAACAAGTCAGGCAAGGCAGGCAGACACAGCTCCCACGGCTTCTCCATGGCAACAGGGCCTCCAGACATGCACACAGCAAACGGGCCGAGGGGGCTGGGAGCCTCACAGCCCTCCACCCCAGCCCCAAGCCCCCATTCACAGAGCTCTTGTGGGATCTCACCCCAAAACACCTTCCACAATGACCACAGCTGGCCAGAGGATGTTCCCTCCTTCCACCAGGGAAGGTGCAATGCCCTGATGTCCAAGCCAGGCAATGTCCATCCCAACCAGTTATGGGTTTTGTCCAGAGAAATGCATCACACTTGAAAATCTGGTGTCTCTGCATCCTGGCAAACCAAACAGCACATCTCTGTCCAGTAAAAAACCCAGAACCTCAAACCTATTCGGTCTAGGTCTCAGATCAGATTCTGACACTCAGACTTTAAGGAACCATTCTTTTTATATTTATAAATGTAATTTTTGTCTAAACGAGCAAAAACTGTGTATCCTGACAATTTAAATGCAAAAAAAGGAGAAATAAGGCAAGCCAAAACCAGTCACAGCAGCAACCTGCAAAAGGGAAACAATAATAAATACTTCTTCAAGCACGTCAAGCTGGAGAGTCAGAAGTTGGCTATGGTGCAAGAGAAGCATTCGTAGGAGATAAGGTCAGAACAGAAAAACAATGAATATTTTGCATCTGTAGTCAGTGAGGAAAAGCTTGGAGACTTTCCTGTGCCAAAAGTCATCTTTATATGGACGTGACATTGGATTTGGCTTGTGTTCAAGTGTCAGCAGAAGAAGTTGAGGAATAAATAGCCAAACTAGAGAGTGCAAATGCACCAGGCTGAGATGGTTCACCTAAGTGTCCAGTGAGAGCTCAGAGGTGAAACAGTTTAATTACTTAGCTGTAGCATGTAGTCACTGTGTGTAACAGCCTCACTGTCTGAGAGCTTCAAGGTGACAAATGCGAAGGGTTTGGGGTTAAGATGCACCCTGAAGTCTGAGGTTCCCTCCTGGGCAAAGCGAAACTGTCACTAAGAATCTCATTAGTGCAGAGTTGGATGCATTTGAAATACTGGGAAGAAAAGAAAGTTGATTTTCCTGGAAAAAAAATGAATGTTTGTTAAAGGTATTACAGTTCTTTAGAGGGGTAGATAAGTGTGAGGTGTAGTCTGCTTGGGTTTCCAAAAGGTCTGTCACATGAGTTTCTTACAGGAATGCAGCTACCATGGGATTAACAGAAAATACTTGAAATAAATAAATACCTGTTTAAAAGATTCCCAAAGAGCAGCTCTCAATAAGCAAGCTCCTGAATGGAGGCAGGACTGAACAGAAGCCCCACAGGGACCTGGGCAGGGCTCTGCTCACTTCAGCTTTTCCAGAAATAATCTTGAAAAATTAATTAGAAAAAAAAAAAAAATGGAGTGACAAAGCTTGTAGCTGATGTTAAGGCATTCAGGGTCATAAATACATGAGACACTGAAGAATTATACAAAGACCTCGTGATAGAGAATAACTAAGCAATGGGTCCAGGACATCCAGAGGAGATAATTACAAAGATAAAGACAGCATGAAAACAATCCCAACTCCTCCAGCACTGGACTGTGCACTGATCTTTATCCTCAGAAATAACCTATTTTTCTTCCAGGTTCAGTTGAATATCGTCCTGCCCAGCCCAGATCCATTTGTGCCTCGTGCTGGCTTTGGTGGGACTATAAACACAGGAGAAGGGAAGGGACTCAGCAGCATGGTAAGCATAAAACCAGGACAAAGGGGGTGTT